CCTTCCCGAGCATGCACACAGCCCTGCGCACCTGCATGGCCTTCTAGGTTCCCAGGGGAGAGCGGAGCTCTGCAAAGCCCTGTGGATACCTCGTTTTCCAGCTTTCCCTCTTAAACTGTTGTTAGCCTACAGTTTGCCCCAACTCTGTGCAATGGTGACATTAGACAATGGCCTGTAAACATTTTTAACAAACATCTCTTAGCACAGGCTCTTTTCTCACGGGATGAGCTCTGAATCAGGTCAAATGAAGACGTCCTTTAATTGGCTTCCATGAGCCCCCCAACATGTCAATAATGACAATTCCCTGAGGCATGGATCTGAAGACGTGCGTCTTCCATTCGCCCTTCCTGATGGCCCCCAGGCTGCTGGTTTCTCAGGCTTCTGAAAAGCTGGAGAGAAAGTGATGGGAACAGCGCAAGTTCAAGCTCAGCAACGCTTTCTGTTCTTGAGACTTGGCCGCTTTTCTCAAACACTCCCTGGGTTCCTACAAGACTTCGGTTAATTTCCAAGGTTCTTAGAAAGTTGATTCTGACAAACTTACCAGTTTCCTCATTGCTTTCAGGAAGCAGAGAGTTTTCAGAAGTCCTCACTCCACCAAGTTCACTGACCTTGAGTTCACTATTCCCAGGACTTTACCTCTAACTCTCCACGAAAGCTGTTCTTAACAAGGTCTTCCGTGATTTCCATGGTTCTAATCCCAAGGGTCAGTTATAAATTTTAATCTTCTTGACTTATTAATAGCATGTGAGCCTCATCTTCTTGAAACACTTTCTTGGCTTGGCATCCCCGGTTTTCTGCTGGTCATACTGGCCATTCTTTTTCCAACTCCTTTTCTATTTCCTTGCATCTCCTTATCTTCAAAAGTTGGAATGTCTCATTCTTTCGGGAATGGCATGCAGTCTTGCTTCTGTGAATGCCACCTGTAGACCGATACCCTAATGGGCATCTGCGGCTGGATCCCTCCCCCGAGCTCCAGTGACATGTAGTCAATGACATCCTCAACATTTCCACTTGAATTTTTGAGGGGCATATCCAACTTACAAATGCCCCAAACACAACTGTGACCTTTCCCCTAGACTCCTCCTCCCGCCATCTTTCCATCTCAGTAAATACTGCTCAGGCCAGATACTTTGAGGTTACCCTGGACTCCTCCTTTTCTCCCACATGCCACATCAAGGCTCCATCTTCAAAATAGATCCCTTCGCCAACCAATTTTTATGACCACTACCGTGGTTTAGGCCTCCGTCATCTCGAAGCTAAATTAGTATTATTTGCCCCCATCTGCTCTCTCTGCTTCTGTCCTGAGGCAAGTATATGCTCAACATAACATGGCAGCCTGGATGATGCGTTTAAAATCCAACTCACGCCCTGATTAGGTAGCTCAGTTGGTTAGAGCACTGTTCTGATATGCCAAGGTTGAGGGTTCGCTCCCCAGTCAGGGCACATGTGAGAGTATAAATAAATGGAACAACACATCAATGTTTTTCTCTCTCTCCCTTCCATGTTTCTCTCTAAAAAATTTTTAAAAACATAAAATAAAAATTAAAAAAAAATCCAACTCACATCTTTTCCTCCTGTCCCATTAACAGTCTCTGCAATTGTCCGAATCTATAGAGAACACAAACATCTTTCCAGTGGCCCCAAGATCCTTCGTGACCTGGCCCTCCGTTCTCCACATACCCTCCGCTCCCAGGACTGTCCCTGTTCCTCCCTCCCTCATTCCTTCCTCACTGGCTTCCTTAGTCTTTCTCAACAGGCTGGGCCTAGTGCCTAGCTGCCTGCAATGCTCTTCTCTAAGAGGCTGCCTGGCATGCTTCTCAACTCCTCCAGCTTCTACTCAAATGCCACCTTCTCACTGGAGCCTTCTGGACCACCCTGTTCCCAAAGTTGCCATTCCTATCCCCCGTAGCTGCTCTATTTTTCCCTTAGCGTGTATCATTAACTATAAAACTGTATATTTTACTTTTTCTTTTTTTTAAACATATTTTATTGATTTTTTACAGAGAGGAAGGGAGAGGGATAGAGAGTTAGAAACATCAATCAGCTGCCTCCCGCACACCCCCCACTGGGTATGTGCCCACAACCAAGGCACATGCCCCTGACCGAAATCGAACTTGGGACCCTTCAGTCCGCAGGCCGACGCTCCATCCACTGAACCAAACCGGTTTTGGCTACTTATTCTTATTGAGTGTTGAATAAGCTCAATATGAGCTCCAAATGGGTGTGTGTGTTTTTTCAGATTTTATCTCTTCCCTAAGACATTGTCTGGGAGCATGAGCTTAATGCACCATGACAGGGAGGAAGAAAAGTTCTCAGACCTATGCAGAGAGCCCAGCAGCCTCCTGAGGGGATGGTTGGGCTGGGCTGCTCCCTGGTCCCATCTGGCCTTTGGAAGTGATATGCCACCACTTCCTTCGGAGTCTGTGCCCCAGCCCTGGGCTGCCGCCTCACGTGATCTTGTCCTCCAGGACCAGGGCTCTGACGTTCCACAGACGTGCTCCGAGGTCCCTCACGGGCGCGCTTGGGAACTGCTTCTATTCTGCTACACAAGAATGGGTGGCCTATTCACCTCGCGGGGCACAGATTACACAAACAATGTATGAAATTCAGCCCTGCTCCTGTCAGTATTTACTTGAGAAACTGATGCCTCATCATAAAAATGATATGAACAGTAACAAGTAAAATTTATCAGGACTAGCTGAAACAATAAGATTGAGAACTTGTTGAAATAATAAAACACAAAATGTTTTTATTTTTTAAAGAAAGAAATTTAGTATTCACCTGAGATGAAAACTAAATTCTTTTTTATAAACCCTGATATAACCAGTGCAGCAAAGTAATATAACAAGATGCATACTATCCTCAAAATTGTTTACATTTTCAAGTTAAACAGTTTCTGAATTGCCATATATAGCAATTTTCACTGCCCGGTTGTAAATGGACTACTTTACAATGAAGAAAGTTGAAAAAAAATATATGTATATATAGATATATCAATCACAATGCCTGGCATACTGTAAGCACTATATGTGTGAGCCATCATTATTCATCATAGGATGCAAAGCTGTGTGCTACATTAGGTGTTTTACTTTCCATATGAAAAATAATTTATAGTGACTTTGTAACCTATCAGTTTAGTCCCAGCAGCTCTCTTAGAGCTTTTTGAGACCTAAATGAATGCACATTGTTGAAACCATGAAGAATCCATACTAACATGCACGTGAATTTCCCGGTTGTGCTTCATTTTAGCCAGGACCACCTCGCCTACAACCAGTACAACCTTTCTGAGCTGGGACTTGTCCAAGCCCATGTTTGAACAGAGGGTTGTTGGGTCTTGTTTTGTTGACTTGAGGGATTTAACATGTAGTCTAAGAGAATGGATCAGACAATCTAGGGTGTGAGACCATATAACCTGGAACAGTTTTGGGGGTTTATAACGTAGGTAGAAGAACAATAGAATAAAGAATAAATATAGACATATATAATACTTTTTAACAATAAAGAATTTTTAAAAAGAATAAATATAGACTGGATTAGAAATGGCAGCCAAATAGGCATACCTGTCGTGTACCTCATCCCAGGGCCAGACTGGAAATGGAACTAAGTGGGAGAACATTCACCTGGGATTACCACCTGAGGTCCAGCTGAGGAGGAGACATATCAATGAAGGACAGAGAACACCAGGAGACCAGTAGGAAGGGCGAGGTCGCGAGAGGAGCAGAGCCAGCTCCCAGGGGTGGCAGGCTGGCAGGCCAAGAGAGGAGGGAGCGCTGGGATGTGAGAGGGGCTGTTCCCTCAGAAGATAGAGGCCCAGAGCCTGGGCGTATAGATCAATGAAACATTTCAGAGATCTCATAAATCCATCCAAGTAATTATGCTCAATTAATATTTAACAAAGGAGGCAAGACAGTCTCTTCAATAGATGGTTTGAGAAAATTGGACGGATACATGCAAAAAAATGAAACTAGATCACCAACTTACACCACACACAAGAGTAAACTCAAAATGGATAAAAGACTTAAATGTAAGTCATGAAACCACAAAAATCTTAGAAGAAACCATAGACTGCAAAATCTCAGACAGCTCTCATAGCAATATGTTTATGGGTACATCTCCTAGGGCAAAGGAAACTAAGGAAAAATAAAGAAATGGTCCCATTTCAAAATGAAAAGCTTCTGCACAGCAAAAGAAACAATCAACAAAATGAAAAGAAAGCCCATTACATGGAAGAACATATTCACCAATGATACATCTGATGAAAGGTTAATTTCCAAAATATATAAGGAACTCATACAACTTAACAAAACGAAGACAAACAATCCAATTAAAAAATGAGCAAAAGACCTAAATAGACACTTCTCCAAAGTGGACATACAGAAGACCAAGAGAAATATGAAAAAATGCTCGAAGCCACTAATCATCAGAGAGATACAAATCAAAATGACGATGATTTGTATCTGACACCTGTCAGAATGGCTATCATCAACAAATCAACAAATGACAAGTGCTGGCAAGGATGTGGAGAAAAGGGAGAACCTAGTGCACTGATAGTGGGATTGCAGACTGTTGCAGTGACTGTGGAGAACAGTACGGAGTTTCTTCAAAGAGTTAAAAATGGAACTCCCATTTGATCCAGTGGCCCCACTTCTAGGAGTATGTCCTAAGAAATCAGAAACACCAATCAGAAAGAATATATACATCCCTATGTTCCTAGCAGCACAATTTACAATATCTAAGAATTTGAAACAGCCCAAGTGCCCATTAGAAGATGAATGGATAAAAAAGTTGTGGTTACATTTACACAATGGAATACTACACATTTGTAATAAAAAAAAAATTGGGGGGAGAAACCAAGATGGCAGCATAGGTAAACACTGGAAATTGCCTCCTCACACAACCACTTCAAAAATACAACTAAAAGACAAAACGGACATCATCCAGAACCACAGGAAGGCTGGCTGAGTGGAAATTCTACAACTAGAAGGAAAGAGAAAAGCACACTGAGACTCAGAGGAGGTGCAGAAGTAAAGTGCAGAGGTACGGACGCGCATGCAGAAAGGGCTGGCAATGGAGGAAGCTGGTATCTTTTTCAATCGTGAGGGAGTCTCAAGCTCCCCATTGCTCTGAACTCCAGTTCTGGGCTAGTCTCTGGGGACCCAGACTCATACTGGGAGAAACTGGACTGTCTGGCATCGGTTGGAACTCAAGGGTGGCTTTCTCTTAGAGGTGTTTGCAGTGATCACCCCGAGACACTGAGACCCGGGACCTCTTAGGGCAGGGCTGAGGTTCAGCCATAGCTGTTTGCTCCACCCTGTTGATTCCCTGAGACCCAGCCCCACCCAAGCTGTGCACAGAGGCTTTTGCATATGAATGACCTGGCCCTTTGCAATCTAAAATTGTCTAACAAACTATAGCTGGGTCAGAGAGACACAGAACATCCAAAAGAAGGCCCAAGGGCTCACAGCAGCTTGCATTGCTTCACAGCTGGGCCTCATCTGGGCACCTCCAAATCCTAAACAAAGAAGAGGAATCTGCAAATCTCTCCACAGCTCCTGCTGGGTAGCCTCAGGCAGAGGCTAAATGAGCACCTCTTTAGAGATCCAAGTACCAGTGTACCCAGTGGTCAGAATGGGACCATCCAGATTACAACTCCTCAGATCCATAAGGGACACACTCATGGGGCAGACTCAGTGAGCACCAAAGCCCCACTGAAGCAAGTCTAGCCCCAGAAGGGTGTCTCCAGCAGAGAAGTTC